TGTTTACACGTTACTTGGAAGCAAACATTGCATTTTCATAAAACTCTTTTTTTTCTGTAATTATAAAAATGCGAAAACATAACAAAAAACAAGCTCTAGCTTGTGTCTTTTTTTTTTGCCAAGCAAAGAATAATTTATCAAATGATATAATAAACCTACAATGCTTTACTTAACAGTTTCCTATTCCTAGAAGATACTGAAATTCTAAAATTTGGCATAAATCTATTTTTTAATACACATTAATCTTGAAATTATTAAGATGAAGAAAAGGTTTCGATTTTATTATAGGAGAGAGTTCCCAAATTTTATGCTTTCTTAAGCAAAAATAGAAGCGCCAAATTTTGAAAATTTTAGCGCCAAAATCGAAATTCCATTTACCTTTTTTTCCCACTGATTATTCGTCTTCTTTTCCTTCCAAACGAACAGATCCATCGGACACCATTACGAGTCAATCTCATTTTAGCCGGAGATTAAAATCGGAGATGGATAGCGACGAGCAGCTTTCACCTATCGGAGAATCTAGTGTCCCTGTTCCAAAGAGGATGCTTAGGCGATTAAAGAGGGCTACATCGATCTCTGATTTATGCCCTGGATCTAAATCCCTAGATTCCGAAGAAGATCTGGGTAAGCATGGATTGCAGTCTGCGAAGGGTTTCGATGGGTTCGAGGAATCTGATCTCGAGGGTTTGGGTGTGGAGGATGGAGTTACCGCGAAGAAGGTTCTTGATTTTGATTCCGTGCCTGAGTTCATTCCTCCGATTGGAGATTTGGGTGAGAAAGGCGACGAAGAAATCTCTGATTCCGAAACAAGAGAGGAAATTAGGGTTCCGGAAACGAATGAATCTGGGAAGGAGCGGCCGGATTCCGACACGAGTGTGCCTGAGTTTAATTCTGCTTCTGAGGAATTGGCCGAGAAAGGCGAAGACGAAATCTCTGATTCGGAAGAAATTAGGGTTTCGGAAACGAAGGAATCTGGAAAGGAGCAGCCTGATTTGAACACGAACACGAGTGTGCCTGAGTCTGATTCCGCACTTGAGGAATTGGGTGAAGAAGAAATCCATGATTTGGAAACCGGAGAGGAAATCAGGGCTTCCGAAACTGGAAAGAAGCGACCAGTTCTCGAGACCAGTGATGGTGAAGGGAAGGAGAGGAAGAGAAATAACAAGAGGAACAAGAAGAATGTCGATTTTGATGACCTGCCAATCTCTTCCATGAACATGACTAAGAAGGTAACTCTTTCTGTTTCTGTAGCTGTTTCATCTTGAAGGTTACTTTGCAAAGGTCGATTGTTTGTTTCCTTACTGTTCTTCGTTGTTCGGCTGGCTATAGGAAAGAAGAGAACATCTTGACCAGCTTCGTGCAGAAAACCAGAGACTCTTGCGAGGTACGACTATCTCAAACACGCTTAAATCGTTGTTCCTTGCAAGGTTTTTCTGGAAATTGACTAACTTTTTCTCTAACAATTGTCTTTTGGCTTGGTGCTGGTTTGTGTGTGTTTTAGAAACTAGAGATGCTGCCTTTGAACCAGTCCCTCTTGTCCGAAAACCCATTTCGTCTGTCTTGGAAAAAATTCGAAGAAGAAAAGAGGAGATTTCTAAACAGTGAGTTTGATATATTCCCTAACTACTTCCTCACTATAACCTCTTTTCTTTGCAACTGTGTTTGTGTCTTATCATTTCTTCTGTTGGCAGATTCCTTAGCAGGAAGAAATCCAAATACATGGACATGTGTGACGACGGTCTGATTGAGGACGATGGGAATGATTTTGAGGAAGTTGTAGCTGAAGAGAGGAATGAAGATACCAATTTAAATACTAAAAACAAGCAAAACCCTGCAGGACAGGATTCCTTGGAGGAGGATTCTGCAGGTCCATCAGGGAACTCAGACAGTCCCTCTAACAAAAGAACTGAAAATAACCCTACTCATCAGGTGAGCCAACTTATGGAGTCTTCCTATTTAGGTCTTTGCACAAATAGGAAGTTGTTTTCTGTTTTGTTGATTTGATTATGGATTTTGATGCCCTTAATCAAAGTTGTGTGCGATTTGAATGTTAAATACTCGTCTGGAGACGGGTCCTAGTACTGAAATTCAAACATTGGGAGTTTTAAACTGTAACTTTATATACCTGCAAAATCATTTCGTCCTGTTGACTCTACCTGCATAACAATGCGAGCATCTCATTTCGTTTCGAGGTTACATATGCTGAGTTTATGGAGTGGTTCACAAGCTAGTTTGTTATATCAGATTTAAAAGCTGACTCTCTCAGTTATTTGTTTTTGCTAGGATCCACCCTTGCGCTCTCAAACGACTAACTCTGGAGATGAAATTCCAGAGAAGAGATCAGGCAGATCTTTGGAAGAAGTAATGACACCATCCATACTTGCCATGAACCTCAAACTGAACTCGTCTCCAGCGCCTGACAAGTAAGTATCTTTAGATGTGGTTAGACACAGAAATATAATCAGCTAGAACATTGACATGCTCGTCTATCTAATATTGAAAAGCTTCACATAATGCAGTCTTCATTAGTTCATAATATTTTATGGACGTTTCAGTACTGAGTCACTCGTGTTTTGTGATACAATAAGCAAAGCCAATTGTTTTTGTAGAGTGCAGTTTTTGTTGTGTATGCTTAGGCTTGCTTTCTATGTAATAACTAATTCACATCTGCAGTTCTGAAGAAGCAGAGTGCATTAAGGAAAATTCTGATCCTGATGAGACCCATGATTCATCTCCTGGAGACCCTGTTAGAAAATTTATTGATGAGGATGCTGAAGAGGAAGATGACAGTGACAATGATTTACTCCGGTTTGAGGAAGAGGATGAAGACGACTATGAAGAAGATGATGATCTCAGGGATATGATTGTCAGTCAATTTAAGGAAGACCCAACTGATAAAGATAGACGTAATGAACTGCATCAGAAGTGGCTCGAGCAACAAGATGCTGCAGGGACTGAGAAGCTCTTACAAAAGCTGAAACGTGGCATGCAGCAGGAGGAAACATTGTTATC